CCCCAGAAGAAGGGAATAGTAAACCATGTCTGTGTATTACCTACCTGGAAAACCCAGAAAAGAACCATCATAAGTCAGAATTGACTTGATGGCATATGATTATGCAAGAGGGAAGGTTTAGTTGTTATGATGTCTTCCATGTGGGCTTCCTAGAGGCAAGCTGTTGGCTTCTCTGTGAACTGAACGGTGGACTAGACAAGCCTTTGCTCTCATCCAACATGACTCTGTTTATGTTCTTAATACTCAATGAGCTGTTGTTTTTTTTAAGGCAGAGAGCGTTATTCATATTAAGCCCAAGGGGAGGATGCATTTTGTAAATACACTTTTGTATAAGGAAAAATAAACAAGCAATTTCCCACATACTTTAGTAAAGAGATGCAGAAAGCTCTGACAACGTGTTTGCTGGAAAGAAACCAGGGGAGGAAAAAAGAAGTTCTTAATACTCAATGAGCTGTTGTTTTTTTTAAGGCAGAGAGCGTTATTCATATTAAGCCCAAGGGGAGGATGCATTTTGTAAATACACTTTTGTATAAGGAAAAATAAACAAGCAATTTCCCACATACTTTAGTAAAGAGATGCAGAAAGCTCTGACAACGTGTTTGCTGGAAAGAAACCAGGGGAGGAAAAAAGAAGACTAGACTGAGAGATGCAAAAAGCTCTGACAATGTGTTTGTTGGAAAGAAACCAGGGGAGGAAAAAAGAAGACTGCATCTCCTGTCAGTCAAACTGATCTCAAAATTTAGGATAATCAACCAAATGTTGAAAGGGTTCTCAGCTGTTTCCCCTCATAATTGGTCAAATCCTCTCTCTGTCCCTCTCAAGCAGCAACAGATCAGAGAATCAATGTCTGTGAACCTGTGTAAAAGTTGTGGGAAAGAGTGGAAACCTAACCACCACACCCCTGTGGACATTTCACGTACCCTCCAAAATGGGACGTGGTGGCGCTGCGGGCTAAACCACAGAAGCCTGTGCTGCAGGGTCAGAAGACCAAGCAGTCGTAAGATCGAATCCACGCAACAGAGTGAGCGCCCGTCGCTTGTCCCAGCTCCCGCCAACCTAGCGGTTCGAAAGCATGCAAATGCAAGTAGATCAATAGGGACCACCTTGGTGGGAAGGTAACAGCGTTCCATGTCTAAGTCGCACTGGCCATGTGACCACGGAAGATTGTCTTTGGACAAACGCTGGCTCTATGGCTTGGAAACGGGGTTGAGCACCGCCCCCTAGAGTCGAACACGACTGGACAAAAATTGTCAAGGGGAACCTTTACCTTTACCTTTTACCAAAATGGCAGCTTCAGGAACTAAATCTTGGGGAAGTTCTGTTATTACCTCATGTCTGGCTCTTATTGAAAGAAAGAACTGATTCACAGGTTTACATACATGTCCTTCACTTAATATCAGTTGGCCCCTACCATTAGGCCTATTGAGGTAGCTACTTCAGCCAGCAGATTTGGGGTATAATGAAATGGCAGCAAAATCTTCGCTATTTAACATATTTGCTGGCTGAAGTAGCTGCCTCAATAGGCCTAATAGCAGGGCCTGACTGATATTATTAAGGGCGCAATGGCTTATTTGGATTTTAAGCCCAAGTCAGGTGCAATAATATGGGCTAAATGACATGAAACAACATCACCTGGCTTGGTCCTGCAATATCCTCATGCATCCCAATCCTATTCTTCAATTTTTCTGGCTTCCTCGTGTTGAGGACACACTTCAAGATGAGTAGAAACTTCTGTGAAGATGAGAGCTCTAATTGTGCAGGATGTTCTACTTTTTAAAAAAGAAAGTGGTGTGAATGTGAGAAAAGGCCACTGAACACCCACTTAACCAACATGGGGAAACGGGGAGTGATGGCATGAGAGTGCCAAATGAAGCTCGTCCCATGTATGTCTTTTACAGGACCTATTTAGACACTACACTTTAACAGGGCTTAAGTGTGACTTACTGAGTCAAACTACATCAGGATCAAACTACATGGGGCACAAGCTTTGTATTCAGAAGTAGATAGCATGCTGGTCCTCCTATGACCAGTTCCCTCTAAAAACACATTACAGTGTGTTCTTTCTGAAGTTAGGGAAACTACAGAGTACCAATTCAGAGGTGCACGTTTATGTTTCTACCCAGCAAGCCATTAAACTTACTGTGTGATCTTGAGCCAATTCCCCACCCTTCATTTTGACCTTCCCTTGAGGATTGTTTTTAAGATAAAGTGGGGAATAGAAAAAGCAGCTACATTGCCTTAGTTCACTGGGGAAGAAATGAGATAATGTAAACAATAAAGAAATAGTAGTAAATTGACTACTGTATTTCTGATAGCATTTCTGATCACCATGTATGAGTCTGAAAACTGGACAATAAAGAAAGCTGACACAGAAAGATTTGATGAATTTGAAAGTCTGTGCGGGAAGCCCACACTGGACTGCCAGAAAGACAAACGAGTAGGTCATATATCAAATCAAGGATGAACTATCTCTGGAGGCAAAAATGTTGCAGCTGAGGCTGTCCTACTTTGGGCACACCATGAGAAGGTGGAATTCTCTGGAAAAGACCATAATGATGGGAAAAGCTGAAGACAGCAGGGAAAGAGGAAGACCAAATACATGATGGACTAATTACCTAAAGGAACCACAAGCTGAGCAGGGCAGTTGAGGACAGGACAGTTTAGAGATTACTCATTCATAGGGTTGTCATAAATTGTAGGTGAGTTGTGAGCATGTAACAACAATTAAAGAAGCATCCCATTAATTTGTAGTTAAGTAACAAATGTAAACAGGAGACTCCCAACTTACAAGTGCCCGTTTTGGTACTGCCTGTTTTACTGTCATTCCAACATTAGCAAATGACACCCTCAACATCCCAAACTCACATTTACAACCTCGGGAGCTGGTATTGTATACTGACACAGTTCCATTTCACATTATGAAATACAGTAAGACAGCAAAACTGTGGAGGTGTGAGGGAGAAGTGAGAAGACAGGGGGAATTACCCAGAAAGCATGAAGAGATGACTAGGGATGGAAAAGAGAGAAGACAGGTAGGGGTCGGGGGGGGCATCTAGCAAGAAAGCTGGAGACAGAAGTTTTGACAGAGAAGTGAAAAGTCAGAGGAGGATGTGTGAACGGGGGGAAATGAGAGGATGGGAGAGCTTTTGTTTATAAGGCATGGAAATTCTGCAAGAACCAACCCGTTTCAGCCCAGAAGCTAATAAGAAAAAAGTGTTCGGCTTTTAAAGGGTCACTTTATAACCATTACCAGAGAACCAAGGAGGGTGTACATATGGTGCCGTACTGTCGATATTTAAAGCCCTGGGTTTAATCTATAAGTTAGTCTCTGAAGACTAAATTGAATGAAATATTGAATGGCATTTCTCACCTTCATTGCAGTAAGACTTTTAGTGTGCTAATGGAACATAAATTTCAACATCAATTTGAAATTAAGTGAATTATTAACATCATCTCCCCTTCCAGTGTAAATGTAATCAAATCAGGTCCTTTAAACTCAGCATTGTATGCCTTTCTCACAAATTTCCCCACCTCTGCCTGAGCCACACACTTCCATTCCTGGTGAAATCCTGTTGTAGACCTACAGACTCTAATATATGTATGCCCTGTCGCTGTCTCCCGCATATAAGGTACCGTATATTTTGTCCCTGCTTGTTTAAAAAGGATGTTGAAAGTGTGGCAGACAGCCTGCTGTCCCTAGGCTATATCTGACTTCTAATGATCCTTTGCATGGAATTTATGAGCTTCGAATGGTTCTCTGTTAACCTGAGTTTTTCAGTACTTTTCTCTTACAGGTCAACTTGATGCTCAATGGGAAGCCGGTCATTTCTGCTTTTGCTGGCGACAAAGACGTCACTCGCGAAGCTGCCACAAATGGAGTGCTGCTCTATCTAGACAAGGAAGATAAGGTTTATCTGAAACTGGAGAAAGGTAATCTGGTTGGTGGATGGCAGTACTCAACATTTTCTGGCTTCCTGGTCTTCCCTCTGTAAGGTCAGTTTCCCTGTGATGTTCACGCAGGTGTGGACCAGTCATTGCTTCTGTTCTTCGAAGATCATCTCCTCATCTTTTGGATCAATGTTTCCTTTCTTGGTTTCTCATGGGTGAACATGGATTCTATTGTACGGCATTTTGACCCTCTCTTGAACTCCCTTGAGATTTCAGCGAATTTGTGTGTTTAAATCCAGTACATTTGGATTAAGACTTGAAGCGGACAATAAATATCTATGCTTGATGTTACAGAGAAAAGCTGCCTGCAAGATTTATTCTGAGTTCCTTTACAGGATATGTTGGATTTTTGGAGGAAGTGGATAATTATTGTTATCTCCCCTCACCCCCTGCTTTGTTTTGTTTTTTTTAAAGACTGGCAACCAGATCTATAATTTAAGAATCTTTGAGTTTGTCTTCAATCAAGATTAATGCATAGCTGCCAAAGAATTGTTCACTGATATATTAGTTATACGATGTCTTTGTTCCCTGCACTCTAAAAATTAACATAAATTCATTTCGTTCTGTTGGGAAGGAATAGATAATGGTTATTGATAAGTGATTGAGTGCATTATTCTCTGTACAATGTCATGGGTGATAACTCTTAGATATTTTTTCTTCAACTAGTTTATCACAAAGAAGACTACCCTACTGAAAGTCTCTAGGCCATGGCTGGATGTTATTTGCACATCGAAGGAATTTATATTCTACAGAAAGTATTTTGTAGTAACAGAAAGAGACTATCTTGCAAAGAAAAAAAATGCTGATCAAGGTTAAATGGAACCATTTTGGCAAACCTCTGCAGAAAGGCTTGCTCCGCAGGCAAATTATTCACCTTTAATTAGCATGATTGATAATAACCACTCTGTTTAAAAAAAACACACAGAAGGGATTAATTCCTTAGACACATTGAATTCATTAGTTGGTGATGAAAATTCTGCCCTCTTGTTTTTAATTATGTCTGTTCCTTGAGCCTTCTGTTGTTTTTGAAGTGTCATCTGGTTTTGCCTTAACTCCACAACTGTATATAATGATGGTAAATATTGTGGGGATTGTCCAGACTAAGTTAAGCCCTGCATCATGCAATCCTATGCATGCCTATTCAGAGGCAAGTGCTATTGCAGTTAGTGGGTCTTACTCCTGGGTGAACGTGTATAGGATTGCAGTCTTAAGGTCCAGCTCCTTTCAGTCAACGGGTCTTAAGTGCATGCTTAACTCTTGCTCTGAAATCGATGAGACTTGGATGTGGTAACTTTGGCTGCATTGCGACTCATCTGTTTAGCAAATATTCAGTCCAAATAGCCAGTACCTAAAGTTGGTGCAATATCTTTTCTGTCCTTTTTGTAAAGGCCATATGAATTCATAAATTTATTTATTATGTTGCTGTTACATAATAAAAGTTAATATATGTTAGTGTATTTTTTTAACCTTTGGGCTTCTGGAAAGTTATCAAGTTTTTTTTTCTTCTATCAAAAGTGCTGTCAGCATTATTGTATGCAAGTTGAAAACACAGTGGTATGAAGTAGTTTGTGGTTACTCTCCTCTTCGCTATCAAAATCTCTCTCAACAGCAATCTCCATGCAAGTGAAATGATTATAAATAATTATTTGGGTATCAACTGGAGATGGAGGTATTTGTATTTGTATACAAATACAAATATCCCCTAACAGGTGCAGATAACGAAGCAGTTACTCACTGACCACTCACCTTTCCGCCACTGCTGTGGGCTCCACAATCCCTTGCTATCACTCTGGAGTTCGCGATGCATTAGCCACTCTTTGACCTGACAGAGAGTCTTGTCATCCCACCTTCTGCCAGGAGTGGCTAATCCATCGTGAGCTCTGGAGTGATAGGAAGGGATAGCGGAGCGCTCAGCAGTGGCGGACAGGGGGCCGGACCTTCGTTATCTGCACCTGTGGGGGGATATTTATATTCGTATATGAATACAAATATCCCGATCTCTAGTAACAACCTTAGTATGTTAAGTGCTTGATAGAGATGGGGACAAATAAAAAAATGACAATTTGTTTTGATCCGTTATTCATCAAGGTTAATGGATCCACGAATACAAATATACGAATATTCTTCGATGAATCTGTCAATTCATCTGCACTTTAAATGGCTCTAACACTGGCCCCCAGCAACCTAGAGATACCAAATGTGCAGAGATGCTTCCTCGGACACTTTCCTACAACTCCTAAAAGGTTGGTGAACATTGGATCATGGAACCCAGAGTTATATAGCCACAAAGAGGTTCCCCCAAGGAAAGCTCCCCCCAGGTACTTCCCACAAAGAGGTTCCCCCAAGGAAAGCTTCCCCCAGGTACTTAGGGACTCCAGAGTCACAACGGAGCTTTCGATGTCTTTCCCCAACAAGCCTGCCAACTTTGGTGAAGATTGCATATTGGACATCCAAGTTATTCACCCACAAATTGGGTCCCCCCCCAGGAGAGTTTACCACATGGCACAGAAGCCCATTCTGCCTACCAGCTGCTGATCAACTGATCAGAAGCCAATAGGCAGCCCCCCAAGCCAGCCACCCCAACAGCCTATGCCCATACCCCCTTCCTTTCCCTACTGTAGCCCCCACTCCACTCCCACCGACACCCCCTTACCTTAATAGCTGCTGCCAGGTCTCCATCAGGCCTTCGCAGCCACGGCATGTAAAAAGGGAGACTGACTGCCTTTTGCAAAGATGGTGACTGTGGCTTCATTTAGAGTAGGGAAGCTGCAGGTGCCATCTTTGCAAAGGGCAGCCTGGATTCCCTTAAGGCAGATCTGGCAGCAGTGATTAAGGTAAGAGGGTGTCGGTGGGCGTGGGGTGGCATGGGGCCTAAGTTAGGGAAATGAAGGGAGTGGGGGGGAGGCTGTGGTACTGGGTGGCTGTGTGGGGTGGTGGCTGCCTTTCTGCTGCCGATCAGTTGATTGGCGGCTGGTAGGCAGAATGGTTTTTTTTAAAAAAAAAAATACGCAGGTCAAATGAAAATGGGTAAATATTCATCCCTTTGTATTCATGGAGGTCTCTGGAACCCACAAATACGGATCGACGAATAGTTAACTAATCGGCTATATTCGTCGGAAAAAACTACCCGTTTTTATATTCATCCTCATCTCTAGTGCTTGACCTTCATATCACATTTGCAACTACCCTTTAAATTAAGTTGGAGTCACTAGTATGGCACAAGTTTGGGAACTGGAGGTGTTGTCTGATGGCTGCAAAAGTGCATACCTGATCACATCAGAAAAAGTCACTTTAATGTGAATGATTTATCTTAAAGCAACCTTTCTTCCTGCCAGGGAATCACTCCTACCTATTCCTGGAAGTAGAAGCCTAATAGCTGGATCAAAGAGGTCCAACAAATTGGGGTTGGACTGAAGTCCATTTCCCTGTACATCATGTGATTGCCAGCAAATAGATTGCACTGGATTGCTCCACAATCGGTCCAAATTGTGATCTATTCCGCACTCAGAGGACAGAGACCTGGCTAAGACTGCACAAAGGGTCCAAACAAATTCTGAGACTTAATCCTTCATTTTCGTAGTGTGACCATCACCTCCACTGCTTTCTTTAAAGGTTGCTCGGCTATACTTCTCCCTTTGCAGCAGCAACGATGAAGTGCATGCCATCTGCTCTCATGGGAGAGCCTCCCATCTTGAGATTTTTGATGGAATTGAGGTCTCTGAAGAGAAATGACAGCATTCTTTGCAGGAACTCTCTCTGTTTTGACCAGGAAAGTTCCCTACCTCTGCATAGGGAAAGTGAAAGTACAGTACCATGGACCTAGACCACAGTTCCATTGCTGCTGCTGTGTTTTAACTCAGCCCTCAAAGTGTCCCACAAGTTCTTCTCAGTGTTTTGCTAGAATACTCAGAAAGCACATTTTCAGCATGAGCAGGAGGCTAGCTGTCAAACCATGCTCACTGACCCTTTGGCCATGGGAGGACAAAGTTCAGCCCTGGGGTCATGTGTGGTCCCCATGACCATTTTTGTAGCTCTGGACTTCCTGACTCAACCAGACTGTCTTCCCATGAAAAGAAAACATTTTTCCAGCCTTTTCCATGAATTGCTAATGCAAATTGGCATTCGCAGTCTTTGTCCATTGGATAAAATAAGAGCCTAATGTGGCATAATGAAAGGAACCGCCTGACACCTGATCCAAAATGAAGGGTCATTTAATGATAGAAGTTAATTCATGGGGCATTGGTACTCCATGTACATTAATGTATTGCACCTAACAGTAAACATGGCCAAGAAATTAGCATAAGTTCTGCTGCTATGCCTGAGGGATGGTTGGAGTCCTGTCTTCTGAGACACCAAGATTCAGTGTCTCAAACAATACAGGAACATGAATTGCTGTGTGGGATTTACTTGTGCTATAATCTCAACATGATTTGGAAATACTTCACTATTGTCCTCTCTATGGTTATTAATCACTGAGATGTGCTCACCTTCTGAGTCCAGTGAGTTCACAATCAGAGTGATTTTGTTAAATGACAGTATTTTCACACTACTGCAGTAGAGCAGTGGAGACTCTTGTAGTTTCATAAAGATCAAGACTGAATTCCAATTGCTAGCCCCAACTAGCAGTAGACCCACAGAATCAATTCATGACATATATTTTGGTAGATCAACCATGAATTTCATCAGTTCTGTAACTCTAGTTGACACCAGCAATTGGATTTAGCTTTAGCTGATGTTAGATGGCATAAACCTTTGAGGAATGGAACCTGCTTCAAAATATGTATGTGTTTGACATGCAGGAACACACATACCCACAGATATAGAAGACAATGAAATAGAAGTGTGATATGTTGTAATTCTATGCAAAATTCAGAGTACACCAGATATGCATCTGTGGTGCAACAATGAAAATATTCAGTTTGAACTTTGCTTTAGGAATCTTCTGAGGGGCTACAATTTATTTCAGGATCATTTTGGAGGTTCTTTAATTTGATTCAAGTCTGAATTAGGACCTTCCTTTGGAGAACTGAAGATGTGTGCCTTTCCACTGACTGATTTTGTCTGTCTGTCTGGTGGGGGCAACTTCTGTGAAAATATCATTCCTCATAGAAATAGTTTTTAGGAACAAATCTAGAAGGAGTTGATCTGTCAGGTGACCTAAAAAGGTTTTCCCCCGTCAGTTGTGATTTACTGGTATTACATCATTAAGAGGCTCCCTAAGTCAGTTACTGTAATGTTTCAAATTGACAGGTACTTAGTATAACAGCAGTTTTAATGTGCTGTTTAATGCCAAAGTGACACAAAGATGAGATGTGTTGAACTTCTGTCTAAAGGAAATGTGCATTTACAGATCTACATTAGCACATGTAAATTCCATGCAACCCTATGTCCTCCTTTGACCTTTGATGGGGTGATACGTTTCCTCTCTTTTGCAAACACAGAAATGAAACAAGAACATAAAAAGAACTATTGTAACCTGAGTCTGAGCATCAGACACAAGAAGAAGGGACCTGGCTGAAGACGTAGATTACAAATTAATCCACTAAAGTTCATATGGAAACAAAATTGTTCCTCTTCAGGAAGCCTTAATATGTTTTTGTTTTTGTTTCATGTTTCCTGATATTGACCAACATGGCTACCTCTTTAAAATACTTCATGTTTTTGCGTATGGTACAAGTAGACACTTTGGTCTTAACAGAGTCACTTGGCTGGCAGCACTATTAATCAGAATAATTGGTTTGTTACAGTGCTGTGATGAAACATTGCTCTTGAACACTATAAAAGAGGAATAGTGAATCTCAGACTTTGGGCTGGATTGGACCTTTTCGAGGTCTCAGTGCAGCTCCTTTGCATATCCCCTTCCTCAGAACATCATCATTTGGCAATTTCACCAGATTTTGCACACATTTTTCCAATAGGAAATGGGAAACACCACCTATAAAGCATATCTTCTGTTTGTTAGAGGTTCATGGTTTAAAACCCTTCTATCTTTGGCCCCACCCATTTGCTGGTGGCCCTGCCCACCACCAAAAGGCAGCTTCTAGAACTTATTTGACGTTAAAATCAGTCTAAAAGAGGTCCTCCACTACTATAGAAAGATCATATAATGAGATCTAGCTCCATATTATTTAGACCTTGTCAGAGTCTTAGCAGCTGGCCAGAAATGCCACGTGGTGATATGGGTTTCAGTTTATACCACTGCAACACATGTTTTGATGCTATGTTGGTCTTCACACTTAGGCATAAAACCACAAGTTCAAGTAGTTTGCTGATTAAGGTGAGTATTGCCCCAGAATGACTACTGTCTCTCAAAATAAATACATAAAAGTTGAAGGCCAGATTATGGCAAGCATTTTATCAATTGATTGATTTTATTTGATTTTTAT